TACAGCCTGTAAAATGAACTTTCAGGGCTAAAGAAGAGTTTTATAGCAGTAAAAAAGTCAAGAACATTGATTTGTTTTGTGATTTATTCATTTAACCGATACCACACTTTCTTTGGGTTTACCGGCGTGATAACCCACGCGGGATGTTGGGAGAACACGAGAAAAGCTTGTAAATCACGAGCCGAAGGCGAGTAATTTACAAGCTTTTCGAGTGTAAACCCATAGAAAGTGAGGTCTATTGCTTTTATAAAATAACTTTTAGTAGAATGGAGTCTTTTAGGTAAAAAATATGGTTCTAGTACCGTGATCAAGTCACGTCTTCTCTCTAAAGACATCATGAGCCAATCATGACTCACGATTTAATAGCCTTGAACTTTCTCAAAACTCAGTTCAGTCAAACAACAAACAGCAGCACTTCAAAACACGAGTTTTTGCACTCTACATGATAACTTATGAAAGCAGTTTTACAGGAAAAGTCAACGCTTATTCATGCGAACGTACAATGAAAGAATACGTTCATGGTTTGTTTACTACAGAAGTAGAAATTAATTGAACATCAGACTGTACGCAGCTTTATTCTGTTTTGTTGATCCGTAAGAATTTCGTTGTTTTAGACGGAACTGACAGCTATTGTAATGGAGAACTTCATTCACTTTTTACAAGCGGCAGTGGTTTAAGATCTGTTTTCTGGACTTTATTATGATCAAGAAATGCTGCGCTAACGACGTGGCTGCATTTGCGAAGTTGTCGGATGTAACTTTATATGCACGCACAGCGACCGATGGAAATATGTCAGTGGTGGAGAAAGGTTTCTTTGGCGTAGCCACATTTTGGCGTTAATATTTGTCGATTCGTGAAGTCAGGTGGTTTGAGGTAGGTTATGGCATCGATATCACCGAATAATTTGTGCAAATGTTGGAAAAAACCAGCCCGAAACTCTAATCATCGTTGGCAGCTTGTTTACAACCTGCAGCGGCCGATTTTGTACCATATCTTGATCAGATATCTCTTTTTGGAACAATTTATTTCAATAAGGAATAATTTAATTTTGACATAAAATAAGTCAAGAATGCTAAAACTATCCGTTTTGTTGCTGGTTGGCACATGGGTAAGTTTTCCTAGAGACGATGGAAATATGTCAGTGGTAGCTCTAAATTTGGAGAAAGGTTTCTTTGCCGTAGCCACATATTAGTGTTAATATTTGTCGATTTGTGAAGTCAGGTGGTTTGACGTAGGTTTGGCATCGACATTACCGAATAATGTTCGAAAAAACCAGTGCGAAACTCTGACATCTTTCATCATCGTTTACAGCTTGTTTACAATCTGCAGCGGCCGATTTGTACCATAACTTTATCAGATATCTCTTTTCGGAACAATTACTTTCATTCAGGAAGTTAATTTTGACATAAAATAAATCAAGAATGCTAAAACTATCCGTTTTGTTACTGGTTGGCACATGGTTAAGCTTTCCTAAAGACTTTCTACACCAGAAATTCACAGAGTTGTTGTCTTTCTCTGCGATTTGGCATCGTCGTAAAATGTAAACTGCCTTCCAGCTTTGTACTTTATAACTTTTAAAGCTAAATTTTAAAGCGAATTGTGATGCTCTGTAATAAAATGTGGAAACCAACACTTTTTAATATAAGAAGGGCTGGATAAGTAACTTGTTGTGTTTTTTATTCTTTCTAAAATCGTTGTTTGCAGATCAATAGCCCGTTTTGTTTATGCCTCGTGTTCCGGATGCCTTTTTCTTTGGGTTTACCAGTATAATAAACAATAGGTTTTTGACCAATCAGATCGTGGGTACCATCTCAGTTATTTTATATGTAATAGACAATACATTTACAGAAGTTAAAAGGAATTTAAAGTTCCAAACCAGATATATGAAAGGGGTACCTTTTCTATCAAAAAAGGTATATAAAGGGGTAAAGGGTTGGACCTTGGGGCAAAGCCTCCCCACATAAAACTTTCTTGAATACCCTCCTAGGTATTTTTGTATTTATATTTGTATTTTATTTTTTCTCCACTTAGCATTAAGTACAGAGCTACTCATTACAGAAAATAAAATAATACTAAGTAGCAGAGGGGCACATCTAGGTAGACTAGTATTGTGCCCCCTGTTAAAATTGTATATTATGACAGCAAAAAAAAAAAGATACAGTCTAGAAACGTGACTATCTTGCTTGGTAGCCACTGACCCTCCTAGGTGAAATGTAAGAAATCAAGTTGTTTAGTAATGCTAACTTTTGTTGCCTAACAACTTTTCTTCTTACCTTTTCACTTTCAAAGCGTTCAACAACATCCTGACTGACTCCAGTAGATTTGAGAAAGGTTGAAACCTTGAGGGGGAAATAGAAAGTTAATTCTAAAGTTCACATACAGTTTTTCACGGTACAACATCCCCAATAGCCAGGAAGGGTATCAAATAAACTACACTCTACATGTACAGTATTTTAATCAAATGCTTCATTTTAACCACCTGAAAGTATTCTACAGCTGTATGGGTATGTAGAATTTTTAAGTAATCAAGAAAACAAAGTTGGTGTAAAGATGACTCTTTTGCCAACACGAGTAGTTTAATACAAAATAAAAACCTCAGTTAAGATATTTTTTGGGACGATTCAAGGAGGACTAAATATCTAGTATTGAATGTCCTTCCCTGAACTTTCCTATCCATGAACCTTTGACTTAAAATTCTGTTTTTTTAAGCAGTCACAAAAAAGATAGAAAAATGTTTAATGGTTTTGTGCACCTGTTCTGGTAGCAAATAACTATTTTCTACAATTTTAAAGATCTGTGACATGCCTGACAGTTCGAAACTATCATCTCAAGTCTACTAAAAGTCTCCCATTTGAGGTTACTGATTTTTACTGTAATCAGTTTTGTAAAGTATACAATTAAAAACCTCTTTACTGCTGTTATCTTTTGGTATGTCTATGATTTTGAGACTAACCAACTAGTCTGTGACACTTTGGCATCACAGTACAACAACCCCTTCACCTTTCACAGCCTTTTTAAATCATCAATAATGCTAAGTGAATGCAAGGGCAGATCACTGCATGCAAACAAAAAGCAAAATTGGGCTGGTTTGTGAACTAACAACTGTGCTACTATTCAACAGGTTTTGACTTTGAAATTTCCCTTTAGGCCCGAAAAGTTTCCGGGTCTATCGAGAAACCGGTCCCAGGTTAAATCAGCTGATTCGCAAGTGAACATCTGAGAAGAAATGAAGAATGCAGAATTCTGCTGGGGCATTCGCGTGTGTATTCATTCTGTATCCAAAACTTAAGGGTTCCGCAAACATTTGCAAAGTTTCGTATCTCGAAAATCACGATAAATAACATGTGATGGGCTTCGTTGTATCAAAACACTTTTAAGTAAGCTATGAAGTGACTACACATGGTGTCAAAAGTACAGTATGTTACAAAGTGGAAGATTACGACCTCTCTGTTTAAGAAACCCACACGATTTTAAAAAGCGTAACTTTTGAGTATCACTACGTACGTTTCCAGGTGATTCCTCCGCCATCGAGTCTGCACTCAACGACTCTGCTATCCCCGCCATCTTGATCATGGACTGACAATTACTCCGCTGACCACATAAGACGAACTGGGGTCTCGGATGTCGGATGTTGGATGTCGGATGTCGGATGTCGGATGTCAGATGACGGATGTCGAATCTCGGATGTCGGATGTCGGATGTTGAATCTCGGATGTCGGATGTCAAATCTGGGATGTCGGATGTCAGATGGTTAGCTCTAAAACCCGATTGGCATTTGTACAGTAAATTGTGATTAGTGAGAAAAGCAATGAAGTGTTTGCAGACATGTTTCTCAAAAAGCTTGGAAATGACAGGCAGGACTGATATAGGTCTGTAATTGTCAAGATCGGTTTTACTCCCTTGTTTGTAAATCGGATTGACATGAGCCAGTTTGAATTGAGCTGGGCAGATGCAGTTAATTATGCTGCGGTTTATTACTTTTGCTAGACTTGGAGCAACTGCAGGAGCGATTAATTTTAACAAAGGGAAGCTGATTCCATCAAGTCCATTTGCAACATTTGACGGGAGTGATTTGATGATTTCTAAAACTTTGCGTTCTGAAATTGTGGGTGTACTGAAATCAGCGGAGTTGCCAGCTTTTTTTGCGATTTACGAAATCCACCAAACTGGTTAGATCGGGTTCAGTATTGATGGTGTTATCAATGATGTTATCAGCAATAGAGATAAAATGCCCATTGAATATGCTGGATATTTCTTCTGGGATAGAATAGCTGGTTCGATCTTTGGTTAGAGAGTTTATTCGACTCATCTGTTTCGCTTTGGTAGGAAAAATATTCTTCAAGGTCTTCCATAGAACTCTGGAGTTCAATTTGCTGTTGCCTATTTCATTAATAATCGCTTCTTTTTTGGCTTTTTCAATAAGTCTTACTACTTTGTTTCTAGCAGCATTCGCCCCTTTTCGAGATCTTTCTTGAGCCGATCGTGCTCTTTGATCGCTCTGAGAATTTCATCCAAAAGCCACGATGGTTTCTTCATAGATTTAACTCTGACTGATTTAAGTGGAGCGTGTCAATCTACCACATCGAGTACAAGGGCTTCCCAAGTTGTCAACATTTCGTCTGGGTCATTGTCAAAGGTGTCAAGGACGGTCCATGGCTTGGTACTTCATTTAAATCCTTAATGAGGCTGTTAACATTCAATTTGTTTAAAGGGCGGTATGTGACAGTAAAGATCAGATCAAAACAGGGTTCTTTCACGAAGTACGATGCAAAGATATATGTCACCTAAGTTTGACAGATTTTTATTTACAGTTATTTACACTATTAAATGGATCTCTGAAGTAAAGAACATGGATTAGCCTAAAACTTTGTAAAAAGATCAATTTTTAATGAAATGTTTCTAGTAAAACACTATTCCAATGGCAATGGTTTGGTTTCTTCCTTTACTTCTTTACTTCTTTACTTTTGGTTTTTAGGACAATGGGTCACATTCTTGTGACCTTTGAGTGGTTCTTTGCATGTTCTGCATCGCCTTTCCTTTCTTGCTGTTGTCTGGGCCCCTGTTCTTCCCTCAGGTCGTTCTACATGAGCTGAGAGCAGAAAAACCAAATCATATTAGCCAACAGAATAAATAAGAATAATATTGTAATATTCCTGGTTTGCAAACCAGGAACAAATACAATGGTAGCCATATTGGTCCTAGAAATAGAAAGCACTACAGTGAATAGTATTCTCTTTCGTTCGATTCACTCCTCTTTGTGTAACCAAGAATTGGTTGAGGGACCTCCTTTGTGACCATTCTCTTCCTTTCACTTCGCTTTTGTACAGCACCTTCCTTAGGTTGTTTGTCAAACATTGGCACCATTGGCTGTGTGGTCATCTCCTTGAGCTCATCCACAGCACTAGCCAGGTCCACCTTGCTGGATTTCAGATAAAACTGATAGAGCTCCTCAACAAACTAAAAAAAACGAAATATCCCAGATATTTCTGTAGTTAATTAAACTGCGTTATTTAAAAAGTGCAGCAATGAATAGAAATAGGCAAAGCAATCTTAGTTCGACTAAAGCTGTGTTCACACTAGCACCAAAACATGTTTCTAAAATTATCTCAGCTATTTTGGAAAATTTTAAATTATATCGACTGTCAACAGGTTATTATTCTCCAACCCTAATTTTTCTGGTGGAATGTAGGTGTTGTTGCTACTGTTGCTCCAAGTTAGAAAGGTTTAAAGTTTTGATGAATCATGTTTACACTGCAAGTGGGAACACAGCAAAAGAATTCTGTTCTATTTTGACACTCCTGACAGTTGCTTTCCCATTCTTGTATTTTGGGTGGCTAACTTTGACTTTCTCTGTTCCATCTGGATTCGTCTTTGCCTCTCTGCGTAAATTGTAATTGAAGTGAAGTGCAGCTAGAATGTGCCTGGAAAATATTTTAAAAAATTACACAATGTTTGTACTTGAAATGTTAGCAGCCAGTAGGGCACCATTATTTGCATAGTGGAATGCACCGTGATAACAACATTAATTTTTATTGGCAACTGTCCAGAGTAAACTTAATAAATATATTGGGAAGAAAAGGAGATAAAGCTGTTTCTGATATACCTGTATTATTTATAACTACCTGCAAAACCTCCCAACATAAGAATATGCAATCATCTTTGGAGCAAACAGATTTAGTACAGAATGGAACCCTTCCAAGCAATCTGTTTGGTTGATTGGTGATGCCTGTTGAATTATCTGGGCAAGATATGTATCACAGAGTGTATTTCACAGAGTCATTGGCAGAAAAAAGGGATACATGTACATCAACAACGGTAAAAAAAAACTTACAATCAGATCAAGAGTGGTGTCCTGACTTGTAATGGTCTCTGGTTCTGTGTAACTCACCTATAAAAAATATCTGATCTTAATAATTTATCTGTGCAAAATATGTATCACCAGCTTATTGGCAGAAACAGTAACGAACAGCTTACACTCACATCAAGAGTGGTGTCCTGATGACCAGGCAATGGCTCTCCCTCAATGACTGCGCATGACGAATCCAAATTGGTAATCCTTTCTTTGGCTGATCTGACATTCTATAAAGGAAGAATATGTTGCTGATGACACCTTGGCCACGCTGATGTTGACTGGATGACAATAGCAGGTCTAATAGAAGATTAGTTGCCATTCTCTTTTGTTGTTTTGTTGGGGGACCTTGATGCTCATTTTCACCTGCTCTTTTTCCAACATGGATAGTTGGCCAAATGCAAACTCCAAGTTCATCTTTCCTAAGAGCTCGTTTTAGATTAGAGTGAAAAGGTCTTGTAAAGTCTTCGGGCTTGAAATGCACTGTGGCTAACTTTGATAATGGTGGGGTAGGAGTTCCACTGGACGATGATTCAGGTACACTGTCAGTAGACATGACAACGTCATCTTGGGAACGGGTATGTCTTTTTGCAGGCTTCGTTGCTCCCTAANGTCTTCGGGCTTGAAATGCACTGTGGCTAACTTTGATAATGGTGGGGTAGGAGTTCCACTGGACGATGATTCAGGTACACTGTCAGTAGACATGACAACGTCATCTTGGGAACGGGTATGTCTTTTTGCAGGCTTCGTTGCTCCCTAATTAAGCAAAATTTCAAGGACTGCTGCTTTCTGTAATCTACGCTCTGGATAGAGCATAGTCTCATCTTCCACTATTCCACGAACTTTTTAACTTCCAGTGCTTCTGCTTTATTTCTATAATTTGGTAGAAATGTATTACGTGGCCATCTTTTTTACACTTGCTTTGTGATTTTTTTTTCTAGTAAAGTAGCAGATTATAACTTAAGAGGTCTTCATAACCTTGTTTTATTGTTAAAGAAGGGGAGGAAAGAAACAAATACAAAATCAATGTGATTTTGACCAGTTAATTATTGCCTTTTTGAACAAAGCAGGCAAAGAAAACTCCGACAAGTCCAGCACAGTAGAAAAGCTGAGTAAACTGAACTCAAAATACTGATTAAATCGTTGCATCCATAGTGAAACATTATAATGAGGAAACTTAAGCAGAAATAGAGTAAAGATTACTCACTGGCATGAGTAAGTTTTCTCAGAATGAGTAAATCTACCCAAAAGTTTGAGTTGAAAATACTCAGTTATTGAGTAAAAATAACTCAAAAGTAGAGGTAAAATTACTCAAGGGAAATGCATCCATAGTGAATCTTTATTTTGTATTTTGTGGTGGAGGAATGTGAGCGTGATACTCCACCATCACCTCCATGGAACGAATGTCTTGTACATGTTGGTGTAACAAGGAGTGGGTTAGTTGGCAGGCCAAGACTACAGGTCTTACAGGAACACCTTCAAACTTTGCATAATGACGCTGGTTTTCGTTGGGCAAACACTGGGAGAATTCTTGGAATCTCAGATCAAACTCTACACCATCAGAGGCATGAATTTGGATTGCAAGTTGGGATGGGAGAACATTTTAGTGACATCACTGATGATGAACGTGAGGTAAACGTGAGAGAAATTCTTCAAGCGACACCAAACACCTGTCAAGGCCTGGTCGAAGGTGGGTTGAGGCACAGGGGCATGTGCATCCATACGAGAAAATAGTACAGTTAATGTCATTGCCTTCTGAGAAGACCCTCCTGCTGGGTAGAGAGCACACAACAGAATAAAAAGTCAACTGCCTACCTAATGTCATCAAGATCAGGGCGGCTCAGGGCTTCTTTGAACAAGGATGCCAACTCCACATAAAGGCAAGCCTCACTCAAGGTCTTGTCTAGCTTGAATGCGTCCACGTAGAGACCAGACTGGACCAGATTTGCCTTCGCAGCTCCTTGTGGCACCTAATCATATTCGGAATCAGGAAGCAGGCAATTATCTTTATACATGAAGTCTGGTTGTTCGACTCTTGAAGTTGATGCAGAGTTTCTTGCTCCCCCTTTAGGACACCCTCTGGTCTGTTGAATGTATAGTTCTGCTGGAGATTGAAAGAAGTAGCTGGCACAATGTAGAAGTAGTCGGTGTAGCGGTTCTTCAGCCTCGACTACCTTGTCTTGGGATCTGAAATTGTGCATTCACTTCATCAGTGATTGACTCAAATTCAGCTCTGTTGCTTTCTTCATTGTTTCCTCGTT